TAAATCTACTTACTTAGATCATTATCTAATTTGTAATCTTTATCCACGACTCATAAATGATACTTTAAGGATTATAACATTTTGTAGATTTAATGGCTGCTGTAGTGATCATGTCATGATTGATTTTATTCTAATCTTCTCTTAGGGTTTATGAGTGTAACAAGCGCTGCAAATGTGATGCAAACATGTGCACAAACCGGTTGGTACAGCATGGACTGCAGGTTCGGCTCCAGTTATTCAAAACACAGAACAAGGGCTGGGGTATCCGCTGCTTGGATGACATTGCCAAAGGTTCCTTTGTCTGTATTTATGCAGGTTCGTGATGAGATGTAAGGGTGTTTTCTGGGATTGGGATATGGTAGGTTGAACCAGAGACAAATTGAACATGTGATGAAAGTGCTGGGTATGTGAACTGGGAGTAAGTGGCTAGGGTTTTCTTCTGTAAAGGACAGGGTAAGTGATGTGCCTGTCCAGGTAGGCCATGGAGGGACAAAAGCTCTCCATAAGGACAAGAACGAAAAGAAATGAAATTGCTGTGGAAGCAGTGATATTTCAGAGGAGAGAGATGGTTGTAGAGTCCAATGTACTATTTTGTCCCACATTATTCCACCCCACCCCAGAGGTCTTTTAGCATAGCTGAGAATGTTGTTTCAGTTAAAAAAGCAAAGAGGAAGAAATGGGACTGGATACATAAAGTGTGAGATGAAACACTACAATAAGTTCTCTATACTCTTCTTCATGTTAATATACTGAGGAAGGGAGGGTATCACCAGAAAGAGGAAGGAGACACCATAATGGAGCCATTTTGACTCTGCTGGTGGAGTGGGTATTAATGGAATGACCCTTGTTCCTTCTAAAAGGTCCTCCTAACTCTGAAGGTCTATAATTTTCTTCATTCCCAGGCAAAATCCTGACAGATGACTTTGCAGACAAGGAGGGCCTGGAAATGGGTGATGAATATTTTGCAAATCTGGACCATATCGAGAGTGTGGAGAATTTCAAGGAAGGATATGAGAGTGATGCCCCTTGTTCCTCTGACAGTAGTGGTGTAGACTTGAAGGACCAGGAAGATGGCAACAGTGGTACTGATGACCCTGAAGAGTCCAATGACGATAGTTCAGATGATAACTTCTGTAAGGACGAGGACTTCAGCACCAGCTCAGTGTGGCGCAGCTATGCTACCCGGCGGCAGACCCGGGGCCAGAAGGAGAATGGATTGTCTGAGATAGCTACCAAGGACTCCCGACCCCCAGATCTCGGGCCTCCACATATTCCTGTCCCTCCATCTTTCCCTGTAGTTGGCTGCAATCCACCTTCCTCAGAAGAGACACCCAAAAACAAGGTGGCCTCATGGTTGAGCTGCAATAGTGTCAGTGAAGGTGGCTTCGCTGACTCTGATAGCCGGTCATCCTTCAAGACTAGTGAAGGTGGGGAGGGCCGGGCTTGGGGAGTCCGAGGGGAGGTTGAGAGGGCCTCCACTTCAGGATTGGGCATCAAGGATGAGGGAGACATCAAGCAGCCCAAGAAAGAGGTAAGCAGTGGCAGAAAACTAAGAGCAGCAGCTTTGTTTAACTGATTCAGTAACAAACTTAACCCTTTTATGACTGAATTATTTTCTGCTTTTAATTTTTTGTGGCTAGCCTGTGTTTTCAGTAATGGAAGCCATGTTGAAATCAAGGGGAAAAAAGTTTCTGTTTTTCATTTTGTAGTAATACGTATTTTGATACAAGTATGTAGGACAACTATGTCCTAAGTAGAACACTTTCAGTAGGATTGGTGAGGTGAGGCCCATTTCTTCAGATTCATGCAGTTACACAGGTGCCCACCAGGCATTAGCACATACTACAGCAGGGACAGAAGCTTCCCAAGAAACCTGAGAGGCTAAAAATGTTGGTGGGCAGTGTATGTCCACAGGTCATAAAAGGGTTAACACAGTTTCACTGTGAATCTTCACATGTAATTTTTTTTTTTTTACTTGAATATATACGGCAAACTGATTATCTTCCCTCTTTCTTTGGTTTTTAAGGAACCACATTATTTTAAAATGCTGGCAGGGCAAGAAAGTATCTGATTTATTCCAAAGTGGAGGATTTTAAGTGGTTTTTATTTTAAGTAAATACTCTGTCACATTATCTAACCATTGCTTCCTTCTAGAGTAGAAAAACAAGAATTCTAAATATAATTTTGATGGTGTTGAAACTTTTCACAATGCAGGTAGTGAACTTTGTCTCTGGTCCTTATAAGATTCTGCTCATAGTGAGCATTATACCCTATCATTGGGAAAGTTGACACACCAAACTTTAAATGGTGTACCTCTCACTGGCTAGTTTTCTCTTTAGAAGTCATTTGAGATAAAGTTTAATTCTTGGATTTGGTACCTTGGACCTTGAAAGCATTTTAACCTTTAATTTGCTCTTTTTATCAGGACCCTGATGACCGAAACAAGATGTCAGTGTAAGTGCCTCTCTTTTTGACCTGCTTCCCAGCCTGCCTTCTCTCAAGCCAGTAATTTGAGAAACATCCAATAATCTTTCTGTCATTCCTTCCCCTCCTATCAGAGTTACTGAAAGCTCTCGAAATTACGGCTACAATCCTTCTCCCATAAAGCCTGAAGGACTACGCCGCCCACCGAGTAAGACTAGTATGCATCAGAGCCGACGACTCATGGCCTCTGCTCAGTCCAACCCTGATGTAAGTGACCTTCTTCTCAGGCTGTACCTTACCCAGCCTTGTTTTATTCAGCGTGAGTAAAGAAACATTCTCCTCACTTCACCAAGTCCTTCGCTATAATTCCTGCTGGGTCTTTTCTTGCTTCTCTGGCTTGACTTCCTGCCTTGTTTTCGTCATCTGACACCTCATCTTCCTCTTGATGTAGTCTCAGCTCCTTTCTGCCTAACTAAAAGCATGGGCTTGAATGGGCTCTCTCCGTTTACTCTTGTCACCCTTCTGCTTCCTTCAGGACGTCCTGACCCTGTCCAGCAGCACAGAAAGTGAAGGGGAAAGTGGTACCAGCCGAAAGCCCACTGCTGGTCAGACTTCAGCCACAGCGGTTGACAGTGACGATATCCAGACCATTTCCTCTGGCTCTGAAGGGGAGGACTTTGAGGACAAGAAGAACACGTCTGGTAGTCCAGAAGAATATGGGGGTTAATGGGAAGGAACTGTAGGGAAGCTGGGAGAGAACTTGGTTTTTTTTTGTTTTTTTAAGGAAGCTAAGGAAATAGATGTAAAAAACTCTAGCTCCTAAGAGTTGAAAGATCTCTTAGAGGGCTCTATGACCCCCAACAGAACTGGTAATATTTTCACACGGCCCCTTCCTCTCTGCCCAGTTTCCTATTCTTTTCCCTCAACTCCTTTGTCCAAAAGATCTAGTCCTGCCTGAAAAAAACTACCACTTAGGATCTTTGCCTCGGAGACGTGACTTACTGGTTTTCCTGAGCAGTGAGTAGGATGAAAACTGGCATAGAATGTCCAGTCATGAATTCATGAATTACAGTGGGTCCTGACCACATTCTCCTTCCTTTCCAGGTCCAACGAAACGCCAAGTAGCAGTAAAATCAACCCGAGGCTTTGCTCTTAAATCAACCCATGGGATCGCCATTAAATCAACCAACATGGCCTCTGTGGACAAGGGTGAGAGCGCACCTGTCCGTAAGAACACACGCCAGTTCTATGATGGTGAGGAGTCTTGCTACATCATCGACGCCAAGCTTGAAGGCAACCTGGGCCGCTACCTCAATGTGAGACCCTTCCCCCAACCAGACATTGGATTATTCCATGACCCTGAAGTTTTTGGTTCTTTTAACACAACTATATAAACCCACTGTTTCTTCTTAGAAATCTCAAAGGATTTTAAAGAGGTAGCTTTCTTTCAGAATCTCTCTGCTTTATGGGGAAGGTCAGGTGGCATCAGTGGTTTTGCAGTCCTTAACCACCCCACAAAGCCAGATTCTGATTTCCCTGGCTCTTAGTCTTATCCTGTCCCTGAACCTACAGCACAGCTGCAGCCCCAACCTGTTTGTCCAGAATGTCTTCGTGGATACCCATGACCTTCGCTTCCCTTGGGTGGCCTTCTTTGCCAGCAAGTAAGGAGTCAGGAGGGAGGATGGTTAGGGAGGTGAAAAGCCCAGGGTTGGGGAAGGGCAAAGACCATTGGAATTCTAAGGACACCTCCTTCCCCCATGTTCCAGCTCCACCTGCACACTGTGCAGCCCGGGTGCAGGAGTTGTCTGCTGTCTTCACCACACCCCATCCTTCCCTTCCTCTTTAGGAGAATCCGGGCTGGGACAGAACTCACTTGGGACTATAACTACGAGGTGGGCAGTGTGGAAGGCAAGGAGCTACTCTGCTGCTGTGGGGCCATCGAGTGCAGAGGACGTCTTCTTTAGAGGACAACCTTCTCCCAAATCTTGAAACTCCCCTGAGCGGTCCTTTCCTCAGGAACTGGGTCTCCCTGACTGTTGAACTCTGACCCCAAGTCTGCAGTCTAGCGATTCCTCCAGCTCCTAATAGATAGAAACAGGAGTTGTGGATCAGGAGATCCCTTCCAATGTGGTGCTAGCAGGCAGGGGCCTCCACCTCCTAAGGCTCTGGGGGTGGGGAGAGATTACTGCTCTAACCTGGGCCTGACATCCTTTCAGTCCTCCTGCTGCTCATTCCTCCCATCCCCCATTTGTTCAAGTGTTCACGCGCTTCCAGCAGACTTACTCCTGGAATGAGGGCTGTGTATCTACCACCCTCAGTTTGTATTGTTTCTTGAAAGTCTTTTAACAAGATGGCAAAACTAAGATTGTGATTTGATTTCTCTCCCTCCCCGCCTCTACCCCACCAAATGGCAGCTGTTATTACTCTTGTACCTTCTCTACCTTTGCTTTTTATTTTCCATATGATATTTTTTAAAAAAAAGAAAATGTTACATAACTATGAGGAAGCCATAAGTTAGACCATCTTATTTAGTTTATCCCCTTCTCAATTCATAATAGTCTCAGACACTTGTTGCCATGTTTTACTTAATCTTTAATATATTTTAATTTAAAAAAAAAAATCATTAACAGTACATTTTGGTCTGAAATGGTCCCTCTGCTGAAATGCCAGGTGCTAGCTGTCATTCTGGCTTTAAAACCAAAATTTCGCATGTTTAATAAATAAAAATTAAAACTAGTTGCCATTCTACTCCAAACCAGCTTGCCTAGCTGAAGAGAAGAGGAAGATATCAGAGAAAGGCAGCTAGATTTTGGACCTGTGGCTACAGGGGTAGCTGGCAGAGAATAACATGAAGAAAAGACCGTTTGCACAGTCCCTACTTTTGGCAGAGGTAGGGTAAGGGTCATGTGTACCCTCCTACACTCGACTGTTTGGGTCTTAGAAGGGAAGAGGTTAAAGGCAGCTCCGCTTTGGTTTCTGGCCCAAGTAGAGTGTTTAGAAAGGTGGTCCAACTTTGGCAGAGTGAGGCCCACAGGTGGGACAGTAAGGCACAACCCTGGCTCTGGAGGTCAGGGAGTCAAAGGCAAACAGCTCAGGCCAAATTCTGAAGTGTAAGGAATGTGAGTTGTAAACTCCACCCTCAGAGTTTAGGAAGGGTCTCAAAAGCAATGTAAAGGACAACTTGGAGGACAGAGAGGAAAATAAGACCATCCCCCTCTAAGAGGATATAACCAACCTCCCCTCCACATGAGGATAAGATAAATAAGAATTTGGTTTAAAGGCAATTGGGTGACAAATGGGGAGGGCACAGAGACCTCTCCTCCCTCGCCTTTCTCCCCAGAGCTTAAAGTGACCCTGTGGGGAAGGTGGGGCAGTTCCTTGGCTTTACACATCAGTCTGGGGGGCAGCAGAGACCTCAGTTCAGTCATTCTTACGATGGTTGTTAAGGAGGATGGGATGGCCATTGGCTAGGGATCGGCCCTTTGCTGCTCCTCCAGCTACAGCCTCCTCCCCCTCTGAACTTTCTGTTTCTTCACGATCACTGCGTTCATCTTCTACCAGCTGTGGAAAGGGTTAAGAAAGGTTATGTGATATCACCAAACCTCTAAGAAGTGCCTCTTACTGTAGGCATGTTCCTGCCATACCCAGGGCCTCACTGTAGTTTTTTCAGAGGATTGTTGGCAGTGCGGGAGGGAGTTTGGACATTTTCTAGAATTGAGGGTAGTAGGGCCTACAGAATGGGACAGAGCCTTCACCTTTCCAGTTATGAACTTGTAGGCCATGCGCAAAATGAGGTAAGCCCAGAAGATATGCAGCAGCTGTAGCACTCCCATCATGGAATTGAAGAAGTAGTAGCCAAAGAAGGCAGGATAGAGCTCCAGCGGGTATACCACGGTGCAATGCAGGATCCTGGGGGAGCAGGGAGGAGACAGAATTGTGAGAGGGGATTAAGATGACGGGTGGGTAAATAAGGAAGGAGGAAAGCAAGACTCTTGATTTCTTAAGAACAGGGGTGTAGTTTGCTCACCAGAAGGGCAGGATGACCAGTCGAGTGATGATGAAGACAATGGCGAAGACAATGAAGATATTGTTGCAGGTGTTTTTCCATCCCGCATAGTTAAACATCTTGGCTGACTGCATAAATAGCTCCATTTGTCATCGTGGCCTACTGCTGCTCCCTCATACGTGCATATGTTCAGCCCAGTTACCAGTACTGGTCCTGTGCCCCCACCTTCCTGGTCCCAGGAACACCCCCTACCCCCTTAAAAAAAAAAAGGACAGGGGACCCTGCACCAGGGTCTCTTAAGTTTGAGAAAATGTCCAGGAAGCCTGACCTCAAGCAGGTAGTCAGAAGAGTCGTGCAGAGCCATGATAAGAGTCCCTGCCCGGATGTAATTGGCAAACCAGGAGAAGCTGATGAGGATGATGGTGGCCACATGGTGGATGATTTGTTCCTTAAAATCCTACAGAAAAGGTACAAAAGGTACAGACTTCAGGAGACTGGCCCCATTATTCCTCGTCTCCTCACCTTCAGTTCCCCATATCCCAATGGTTCCATCCAAAGCACCCGGAAATTTAACATGAGGCTGTTGATGCCAGGGCCTCATTTTGACTCCTAGGTTTAATGGCACAAATCCTTGACCTACCTTTCGCTTTACGTCAGAGGCAATACTGAAGAGCAGGGACCAGTAGAAGGAAAGTTCAATCATGTAGTACCAGTACTGGGAAGGGATGGTGCTCTGAGAGAGACAGGGGAGAGGTAAGGGCCCCAGGGCAGTTGGATCCTAGGGTCTCATCTCTCCAAACCCAGCCCTTTCAGCCCTTGAGATTATGGTTAGCTCCATGACTTCAGTCCCTTCTCTTTATGTGAAACTGTCTCTTCACTGGGGATGTGTGTCCTATCCTAAATTACCTCCCTCAATCCATCATCCCCATATAAGGAAGCATAACCCCCTCTCATACCTGTATGGGATACCCCTCCCAAACTTTCTTCATGTCATAGAACCAGGGTTTCTGCAGAGAGATGGTAAGCAGTTAAAACAGGAGGGATCCAAATTCTCTGGCCTCACCCCCACTTTGCCAGAGAACCAACTCCCCACCTCTCAGCAGCCCCCACTCACATCCACAATGACGGCCATGCCGGCAATGAAAGCAATCAGGTAAAATGTGAATCTCCAGCTGAAAGAGGAAGCAGAAATGGCTAGGAGATGGTGTGGAAAATGGCACAGCCCCCCAAGCACCCCTACACAGCCTCTCTCAGGGACATTATTAATAACTAAATTCACTTCCTGGCCTCTTTATAATCTCTATCTAGCCATGGTCTACCCCTCTCAGCAAGAAACATCAGAATTTCCTCTACCACCCAGTTCCTCTTGGCCCAACCTCCTCTACCTGGCTTCTCGGAACTTCTTGAGGAGACTGGGTCGGTCCTGGTTGCGACGGCGGCGGAACCAGCGCTCTACCTGGCGGCCAGAGAGCCCACTCTTCCGTGACAACAGTTCCACATCTGCCTGGGTGTCAAGAAGAAGCCACTAGTTTTCAGCTTCAGAACTCAGTTATTTCCCCCAGTCATCCTCTCCAGTTAAACCTCTCAGCCCCAGTGCCTTTCCATCTCTTCACCCAACAGAGCTGGCGTTGCAACCTTATCCATCCTTTCCCTCCCTCCCAAAACTCAGTAACTCCCAGGGTGAAGTCTGCAGCTAATACCTGCTTGGGCTGCTTGCCATTGGTCAGGTAGAAATGCTCCAGGGCGGGATTGGGAGGTGCCCGCAGCCGAGTTTTCTCCTTTACATTCAGAAGGGCAGCCAGTGGTGTAGCCACATAACTGAGGAAGGGATATGAGTGAGGAGGTGTACGGCTCTCTTGAAACACCTCAGTTTCTTGGTACACCCAGGCTGGGGAGGGAAAAGGACTGCAAGCTCAGGCAACTTCATGCTGGGCCTCAGTTTCCCCAGTTTTCTGGCAAGCCCCCACAGCTAACAAAGCTGCCTGTGTTCACTACTGGGCAGGCGGGGTGGAGAGTAGGGGGGTGAAAACAAATAACCATTGAAGGGCCTGGGGGTGCTGAGCCCTCAGGAGAACAATGGTGCCTTCAGTGGGGGGCACACAGTAGGCAGGGATCTGGGTAGCCAGAACACCAGGAAACTAGACCAATTAACAGTAAGAGACAAACTTGAAGGCCAAGAAACTGTGTGGCTAGCAGCCAGGGAAGGCACAAGGTAGGTTGGTATGCTCACAGCTCAAAGAAATATCGAATGATGAGGAAGAGCAAGGCCAGGGGTAGTGTGATGTAGAGATCTGAGGCTTTGGCATAGACACGTCCATCTCGGTCTTCTAGATCAGCCCAGGTTAAGTTCACAGGCAGCCACAGCCGTTCCCACCAGAAGTAGTCATACAAGGTCTGAAGCATCCTGAGTGAAGGGAGGGAGAAAGCAGAGGGCATCAAGAGGAGGCAGCTGCAGGGGAAAAGACAGATGAAAGTTTTCGCAGTGTAGCCAAAAGAGCAGCTGGCAGAGACTCGGAAGCCTGGGTTTGGTCCTAGCTGTGTGAGCTTAGTCAAATCCATTTCCTCATCTGTGATATAGTGGCTTTCCAGTTCTAGTATTTACTGTTTACAGCAAACTAAGGTGATGCTAACACAGGAAGTTAAATAGGTGAAAGGAGAGACAGGCATTATCCCTCATTCCCCAACAGCATGACTTAAAACCCCAGATGTCCTGATTGCTTGGAATTAAGAACCTCAAGGTCTCCCCATCATTTTGCTTTCCCAAACTGGAGGACAGGCAAGAACTGGTCCTAAAAGCTACATACAGCAATCTAAATAAAGCCAGAGGCATCCTCTCTTCCCCCTCCCTCCTCCATAGCCACCCCCTCCAGTCTCCAAGTCAACTCACAACTGGAAGTTTCCCTGGGAGGAGAAAGCCCAAAACAGACTGCAGGGCAGGGGCAAACCTTTCCTCCATCTTCCCTACAACCCATCTTGGCAGCAGATCCCTAGGGAAAATTAAGAGGCCAAGGTAAAGCAAAATTATGTCCCCATATGATGCTGAGCTCCAGGACAATGAGTGGGCATCAAACTCCCACATACGAGATGACACCTCATGCCACATCACCCAGTCTTCACACACAATGCAGAGAACCCTATCTGAAGCCTCTGGAAAGTGGAGGCAAGGCGCCAGGCAGGGACCTGGGCACAGGGAACCGAGGTAGCAGACCAAGACACCAGGTAGAATTAGAAGCTGCTACATAAAGGGGCTCATTCAGAAAATATTTAATCTGCAGGGAAACACCCATCACAAATACCCCTTCTGCCCAGGAAAGAGCTGTTGCTTTATTCCCCCTCTCCCCTTTTCTCCACTGAAAGAAAGGAACCACCGGAGAACAGTCTGCAGCTCATGGAGGGGGATGGTCCTTGAAGAGTCAGTGATGCTGGCTCCAGCACTACTAGGCCTGGCAGTCAGTCCCAAGACTGCAGGGAATGCCAGCAGCACAACCAGGCTCCCTACCCCACACACACCCCGGGAGGAAGGGGGTATTCAGGCTGGTCTTGAGACTGAAAACTGATGCACAAGGAAGATGTTCCCCTCCCAGCCAGGAAGACAGTGGGGAGGGGAGATTTTTCTCCACTGTGACATGGAGATCAATGGGTGCTGCAAGCAGAGGGCTGAGCCCTTGGGTCACAGCTGGGCTGCTCCTCCAGCAGCTCCACCCCATCCACCAGAGAGGCACTTGTGAAATCCCTCTCAGCCCTGTCACGGGTCAGTATTCCAGCTCAAGGACTTTACCCTCATGTCCCCCTTGGTCACTGCTCTCTCAGGATGAAATCAGAGGTCAGCACTGACAATAAAGTACCTTCAGCTCCACCTCCCTGCCTCCTTCCCCCAAGTAACACACACACACACACACACACACACATTCCTGGCCCCAGGCACACCACCCCCAGGGCACTGCCCCTTCCCCCTCCAATGTAACCAGAACAAATATTTAATTAGTTAAAGAGAGGGAAGCCTTTTGAAGTGAACAAAATTAAATATAATTATCCACAGTAAAACTTTCCCCACACAACCACACACAATCTTTTTTCCCTACCAAAAAAAAAAAAAGTTGTAGAATATTACATACAGAGGGACAACGGTAGAAAACTAAGTAGAGAAGAGACAAGCCAGAAAGCCTAGATGTGTTAATATACTCCCTTGCTTCCCTTCCATGTTTTCTGCTTAGCCTATTGGAAGGTGGGGAAATATACCTGACCCAGTCACCTGATGCTATGTCACTGGGAGCCTAACTTTTCCTCCAGTGAAATCTAAAGTCAAGGGTACACACAAACCTGGACATTGGTCCCTATCCCCATCCTGGTCAGTGGAAACTGGCAAGGGAAGTTTCTCTTGCCAGCAGCATTTTGAGGGTTAAGGATTCAGAGGGCTTGCAGGGGGCACAGAAGGTATGGATGGAGTCCCTTCCGGACTCCTGGGGCCCTGGATCATCTTGTATGTATCTTATGCCTGCAAAGGTGATAAGGTGGGGAATAAAACAAACAGTGTCAGAGAGGGGTCAAGGGTAAGGGCCCGGATAGTACAACTATCTCAACCACTGGGCAAGACAGCACCTCTCCCATCCTGCTCCAGCAGGAAGAGTGGAAGGTGTATGAGTGACCACATGATGTGTCAGGAGTTTGGAAATGCAGATTAATGGGGGCTCTCTCACACCTGAGTTTAAGGCTTTCTGTAACCACAGCCATCCCTTTCTGTCCTGGACTTCCATTAGCAGAGAATAGTCTCCATTTCCCCTAGAGGGACTGGAAAACAGGGAAAAGAACCAGATACAGCAGGGTCAGGATGCCTGACTCAAGAAGGGGGAAGTAAAGACAAGTGGGGCTCCCAGCTGGCCCCGCTTACACATCCCCAAGGAATCAAGGAGTCTGCTCCCATGGCAGACCTAGCAGCTTCTTGGCACCAGCACACCAAGGCGAGGGAACCCATAAACAAGAGGCTAGAGCAAGAAAAGCGATATGCACACAATGGGGAAAACCCTGCTTTCCCAGGCCTCTTTGGCCCTCAGCACGGTTACCTGATTTGAGAAAATCAAACCTACACTCTTCCAGTCACAAAATTTACCCACACACATTAAGAGACATAGTACATGTGTGTGTGTTTCTCTCTCTCACACACACACACACACACACACACACACCTGCCTTAGAGACAGAGACACCACATTCTGAGACACAGGCTGGAGGGGGGCCAGCAGAGCAGGGATTTCATGGGCATTGGGTTACCGGGAACTTGATCGGGCTTCTGCCCAGCCATCACCCGTTGCTGTAACTCTGACTGGACCCCCCAGACCCTCATAGGCGGTTGAAAAGTGGCAGAGTGTCTCTACTGGGGGTTTATGAACCCAGAGGGCTGGGAGACCAGAAGCTTGAGCCTTTGGGAAAGACATTGTCACAGACTCTAAGGTGTTGTTATTTGCCCTCAAGTCGGACCCAACTCAGTGACATCTCCTTGGGTTTCAGAAGTAGATTTGCCCAACCTTCCTTCCGAGAAGTGGCTAGTGGGTTTGAACCGCCAGCCTTTTGGTTAGCCGTCAAGTGTCTTAGGCACTATGCTACCAGAGCTCCCAGACTCTAAGTAATAACACAGTTTTACTGCCTCACAGTTTCAAGGATAACTGAGAAAGATATAAAGAGCACAGCGAGGGAAGAGTGACAGAGAGGGTCCCACAGGCTCCTGTCTTCCACTAAAGCCAGAAGGACTACAAACAAGAAATAGACGAGGTCCTGAATAGTCTTCCTTGCTGAAAACTTTCTTTCCAAGCAGCAACAGAAGCAGGTCAGGAACTAGAAGGTTGTAATCAATGTATGAAGCCAAAAAGAGGTGTGTCATTGCTCTGGGCTGCAGTATGGGCCCCAAAATTTAGAATTGTGGAAAAGTTAGGGGCAGAAGGCAGCAAGAATAGTGGTCCTCAGGCCTAGTCTGGCCAGTAGTTTGGGCTGCCTCCTGAGAGGCCTTAAGACACCCAAACACAGTACAGACCCCTCCTCTGTCACCAGGAAACTGAAGCCCCCAGGGTCAGGGAGCCATCAACAGGTTGAAAAGGCAGTTGTGGGACTGCTGAAGGGCACTGTTTTCTCCTGTCACTGGTCAGACTGAATTAAGAATCAGTGTGACCAGTGACAGGAGAAAGAAGAACCCCTTCTTCCCAGGGGGAAAGCTGGTCAGAGGCCTCTCTTAGGGGATGGGCTGTGGGGCACCAGGGGAGACAAGAAACTCTTTAGAACAGAGTCTGTGCAGATCACTGTACCGCCAGGGCCAACCCCTGAGGGACAGGGCTGCTGACAAGACTTTACCCTTCTGGGCCCCATCACACAAGCACAGTTAGTCAACCACTCACATTCAGGCCAAGTGACCCAAACTCTGGTATGGGACAGACCCCCACCCCAAACCCTAACAAAAATGTTGTTGGTGGGGTGGTGACTGCCTGTTGGAGGCTTTCCCTGATTTCTCTGGGAAGAGGGGCTCACTCCAACCTCAGGATTCTCAGAATTCTCTGTCCCTGAGTCTTTGCTTGACAATTTCAGGCTCTTGAAAGCAGGTTTTGATGCCAGGTGCCTGGCATGGAGAGAGAGAAACCCCCTAAGCCCACGCCAACGATTAGTCACATACCTGCAATTAACACACTTGCCAGCGCGCCTCTGGGCCAGTAATTAGCATGCTCGGCCCAGAAAACCAGTTTCACCAGCAGATCCCCCACACTCCACCTCCGCCACACACACCCCATAACGGTATAGGAGCCTTAGCCCTGGGGGGCCGGGACAGACACTAGGAGCCACTCCTTCCTGTTTCCCGTTAAGCACATGGACGCTCAGTCCTCCGTCCCGGGGTAGGCAGAGTGGGCCGGTGAAAAGGAAAAGCAGCAAGCCTTCACTCTTCCCTCGGACTCTACCACGGGACCCGTCCACAGCAGAGGCAGCGCCACGGGCCCACTGCCAGGCTGGGGTCTCTCGCGCAAAAGGTCCCCAAGCTTTTCTACTCCCCACAAAGGGGCGCCTGTGTCCCGAGCCCTCCACGAGCGGCCCTGCGTCCCCACCTCCCAGCCACTACCTGTTGCCCAGGAAGGCCACTCGGGGCTCGGGGCGGCGCTCCGCACAACGCCTAGGCGCCAGGCCAGCTGCCCCTCGGGCGGCGCTGGGGGCCCAGCCGCTCCCGCGAAGCGCTCCGGCCCGCCCTCCCCTAGGCCCTGCCGCCATGAGCGGGCCGGGCAGAGGCCCCCGAGCCAGTGGCAGCCGCCCCCAGCCCGGCTTCCCTCGGATCTGCGCCCCGGTCCCTTTCTCCTCCTCGTCCCCTTCTCCCCTCCTGAGCCAAGGCCCGCTCCACCGAGCCGCGCTGGAGCGGCCTTCAGTTCTCCCAACTTTTCCGCGATCCCTTCCGCGCCCACCCCAGTGCGCAAAGCC